AAAAAAACATAGGCCTTCCTTGAAATTGTGCATCGGTGATGCACACAGAAATCAGAACCCGGCTAAAGTCGCAGTTTTCTTGCCTTTCCCGGCTCTGACCTGATTTTTGCTCTTGTGGATTGACATTAAGGTCTGTTCGCAGTTTCGATTTATAGAAAAGACCATTCTAAACTGAATGATATGAAATTTAGCAGGTGTTTCTGCTCCTAAAGTAAACCCAGAGACGATGGAAATCAGTATTTAGGGAGCAAACTATATTTTTGGCACAAAATAATAAAACGTAGTGTCAATAAAATCATTAATTTCAGCATTTATCATGTTATAGATGAAAATTAGAGAACTGTATCTCAAATCCATTGATATAATCTATCATTTACAGCAATAAACACAAATGACCTATTTTCATCATTTTTATGGCTATCACAACTTCGACGCTCTTTATCTCAGAATTAGATTATGCGACTTTAGCCGGGATTTCACAGAGAGGGTCACATTTTATTGTGTGTGCAAGCTTAGTGTGTGTACCTGTGTGTGAGATAGTTAGTGGCTGTTAGCTAGTTAGGCAGTAACTGTTGATTAGCCACTAGTAGTAGTTTGTTTGACTGTTTGTGATGTTTTGTTTATGACTTAAACCTAACTTTTTGTTAGTTTAACTTTTGTTCATTACTTTACCTTTGCAGTTAAAGTTGTTTGTTTCGCACTTGCTACTTTGATTTGTTTGTAGTCTGTAGTCATGTTACAAATGTTTAAACAGACACCTCTCTCCCCTGTCTCTCTCTCTCTCTCTCTCTCTCTCTCTCTCTCTCCAGTCTACTGGTCCAGTGGGCAGTGGCAGCATGCAGCTGTTGGAGACAGATTTTTCCCGCACTCTAACTGGACTGGTAGATCTGCATCTCTTCCATCAGAAGAGCATCCCAGTGTTCCTCAGCGCGGTCACCATCGAGCTGTTCAGCCGCCAGACTGTCACCTGATTTACCCATCATTACTGGACCACACGGTGCTCAGGGAACTCTCTCTCTCTCACACACACACACACGCACAGCAAGACACTGACATCTACAGAACATACAATCTGATCATTTTTAATTTGCCTCTTTTTTTTCAGATCAAGCATTGCATAGTTGAAGGTCATCATAGCATGACAATCTATATGCCAACATTTCAGTAGTATAGTGATTGTGTATTTTTCTTTTAATGCTATAAACCCACACTGTGTTGTTTAAGAAACGGGTTAACGTGTACAAGAGAAACCTGAAGATGTGCAGTTCTCTTTTTACAAGCATCATATTTCATGGCTGTTTATTTGTCTGTATTGAGGAAAAAATAAAGACGTATTAAACCTTTCAGTCTATTATTTGTATTGGGATCTAAAGGATTTCAAAGCATTCTCTGTGTTCAAGTGAATAATGATTTATACACACAGTTGGAACCTGCTTGTATTGTGTTTTACTTCAAACAACTCAAATAACCAAATCAACTCCGCGCTGAATTAAGGATAAACTAATATCCCCATTGAAAACACAATAGTTGCCTGGGAGCTCGGATGCAAGTTTTATGTCTTTTAAACGTTTGCTTTGTACATACTGGCAGCAAATCCTAGTGGATGTGGGAGTATTTAAATTCCCTGGCCGTTTTAGCTGGCAGCAATTATTACTTTTTTTTTTTTTTCTATCATCTTTATTTGAATGCCACATAAAATGTCACAGTTTCCTATCCTACACACATTAAGTTTAATCTGATATGACTCGGAATGCTTTGAATTTTGTCTCCAATCTGTCGCACTAGCGATGGAACGTGCCACTGTGCCAAAGCAATTAGCAAAGAATGTTACCCTCATCCTGCATGCGTGGTTTCAGGTAGTGCGCAGTGGGCACTACCAGAATCTCTGCTTTCTTCTCATGCCAAGAGAATACATAGCGGATGCAATGTCCCTGCTGTTAGCTTTTCCTTTTATATGCAAACTCAGTCTTTGGCTGGCAAAATCAATTCAGGAAAACAGCTACTATGCGCAGACTCATGCACACTCTCTTAAACTGGCATTGCTCTCTTCCTGTCACTTTTAGCCTGTTTTCACACTTTGTCCTACCCTTTTGGTTCTTTATTTAATATCATTTGTTTAACAATTCAGTTGGTCAAGCATCTTTGGTTTTTTAAATCCCTGAACCCTCTCTCCTTCTATGATACCCATTTCCTCTCTCATCACACATTTTTATATTTCATCATTTATCATCTTGAGTCGAGTAAGCTGGCCTCTCATTGGTTATTTATGAATGTTTTTGTTTTTCATGAACGGTTGTTATATAATTCATAGCTTTAGGGTGGAAAAGGCTATATATGCTAATGAGGAGCTGTAAATGAATAAATAATGAATATTTGAGAATCTTTGAACAGGGTCTGGCTGCAGACATGCACTCAGACACCTGTGCTTCCGCAAGTGACGTCACGTGCAATCTTTTTGTATTTTATTTATTTAATTGAATCTCTCAACATTTATGCGAATTTGGCGATTCACAAATGAATGGCAGGCAAACTTGTGTTTGTGACATAAAAATGTATTTGTGAATGTTTTTTATTTGCAAATCTCATTTTATTTGTGAATTGAATTAATGTTTGTGAGAAACTGAGATTTATTTGTGGATCTCATTCTATTTATTTTTTCAATGCGTTTAAATTTTGGTAAATCTCTTTACATTTATTTGTGGATCATAATATATTTATTTTGGAATAATGCAACAATTCTACCCCCGTGCAGGGTCCGGCATGTCATCTGTAGAACAGCAGAATATGAGCACAATGCGTAAAGTCTTTTTTTTATTCTTTATTCTCAAGTCTTTTTAAAGATTTTAAGAAGTGCTATTAAAAATCTAATTTGAAATACAATTTATATACAGTACACTTAAATATTTGAATGCCATTGCATTAAATAAAAATTATATGTAATTGTATTATTTAAAGAAAACGTTTCACGATTTAGTATGTAATCTAATAACAGATTAAATATTAAAGGAAAGGAAATCTATAAAATGCAAGTTTAAACATATAAAAGAAAGGCAATATCAATATTACAAACGCTTCAAGCTAAATATTTAAAAGTTTTTTTATACATATGAAGAGTGTATGTATGTGTTTATATATACATGTTTATATAGTGTTTTTAATTACTAATTAATTAGGGTCACTGTATTTTCAGCAATTGTTTTTGTATGTAGATGGCAAAAGGTGCCACCAGTTTTGCATACAAAAACATGTGCAGCATAAAATGTCCCAGTCCTTAAATTGTACTGCCATGTGTGTCAACATTTATGCTAATTCTCTTTTGAGACCAAAAAGGAGGTCACAAACCGTTCCCCAACATGTGGTCTCCCATGCTGTGAAAATTGTCCATCTGTCAAAGCATCCATGTGTTTCTTCAAAGAGGTTTGGTGGTTGCGAGAGGTATGAGACTAGCGATATCTTTTCTATTGTGTGCCTTATCTGATCTTAGTTTGCTGTGACATTTGAAACTAGAGAGGGTGCCATGCTGGGTCGCTCCCTCTTGCATTGCCACAGAGACAAGCATTGAAGCAGACAGAGACGGGTTCTCTCGATAGACGCAACCCCTGTCACTCAAACTCTGTGTGTGATAAGTGGATTTGAACATGATTTGAACAGGCTTGCTGTGTTTGGGTATTTTTAACTAGTGCAACTCGAAGAGTGAGAATAGGCTTTTGGTTAAATAAAGATTAATGCTGCGACTAGAAAGTCTGCCTGTTTGCTTTTGGATCTCACTTATCTTTCTAGATAATAGTGGGTTTTGCTGTATTTGATTCCTCTTAGGCTTACAGTAAATGGCCTACAACTTGATAACAGTACTTTTGATTATATTAGCAGCCATAAATCCTGCACACTCAACCTCTTCTTTTCAGTCTCTATCTCTCCCAGCATACACACAAAGTAACGTTAGATATCACTAGACCACAATCACATTAGCTCGGCTAGCCAATCGTGGCAGTTCACCATGTTCCAGAGGAGGTTTGAAGCGGTGTTAGAGGCACCCTAAAAAGATTACAGAGCCCCAGAAGAAATTTCTTCATCCTTCATTTTTCTGCTTTCCTGTCATTCCTTTTGATCTGTTTACCATTTCCTTCACTTTCTCTGCTGCAGGGCTTTATTGTCTGACTGTACCGAATCACGCGCCGTCTGATTCAAAGATTATATCCATTGAAATGACGTTAGAGGTTTCTAAAGGAATCTGTACCTCATCGTAATGTTATCGTATGTCTTATAAGACAGCTGAAAGTTTGAATGAATGTGTTGCTCATGATCTTCGAAATGTGAAGGCTTAAAATTGAATTTTTTTTGTAGTCAAATATAAATTGTTCATGATTCAGTCACCCCCTTCTTGTTGGATATTTTGTCATTTAACTGCCAAACCATCTTTTTCCACTGACTGTTAAAAAAGTATTAAAATATATAAATATTAAGCTCAACTGTTTTCAATATTGATAATAAGAGATGTTTCTTGAGCAGCAAATCAGCATATTAGAATGATTTCTGAAGGATCATGTGGCACTGACTTTTAAATTGTAATATTTCACAATATTACCATTTTTGATCAAATAAATGCAGTCACGGTGAGCATGAAAGACTTCTTTCAAAACATAAAAAAATGCATGTATTCCTTAAATTTGTTAATCTCTTAATGTCTTTAAAAAGTCTTGAATTTACCTTCATAAAACCTGCAGAAACCCTATAATACTTGTTTTTATATAACGGTTAACAAATGCATAAACTTGTTTATTATTATTAAAAACATTTTTAAAAAAATCGTAAGTATTCGAAACTTTTGACTGGTAGTGTATATATGTAAAATTAAGAAAAAAGAGATGAATGAATGTGCATGCATACAGAATAGATAGATAGACAGACATAGGTTGCCGACCTTCAAGAAGTTTATTTATTTATTTTTATTTGTTTGTTTTTGGTCACTACATATCTCAAACGTAAGTATGGGATTTGTATGATAATAGCATGATTGAGTTTGTCCACACAAATCTTACTTTCCAAGATGAATCCAGAGAGTGAATGAATACTACTGTGAAAATGAGCCATTACACACTCCATTATTCCAGCTCATTCTTTAACTCTTTATTCTGCGTTCACTGTTCATTTCTCTTTTCCCTCAGGTCTACTGTCATTTATTAATGGACCGACTGTCTTTGTGTGAGCATTTTATGCCAGGAATAGCTTGGCAAGCTTAAAGGAATCAGTTGTAGGCAGCTGATGCAGATTAAAATAATGAAATAATAGACTTTTGCAGCAACTAGTGGAGGTATTCTTACAAAGATTTGGATTAAATGCTTAATTTTAGCAATGAGGTATAAGAAGTGTGATGTATTTTAAATATAGTGATGGCTAAAGTGCATTGTTAGACTGAACTGTGTTCACAATACAGTGTTTCTGCGGGTTCTTTCTAATCATGTCCTCTTTTGGAAGGCCAAACAAAGTAGTTTCACTTTCACAATGAAACAGCGTCACACACCGCGGCCTTGAGTGAGCAGAGGCGGGCGGACTTGAGAACGGCGCGGCTGGTGGATTCGACGAAGGAGTGTCCGGCGGGCTTGTGGCAACCACGTGACGACCCCGGGCTGGACTCCGCTTCGTCCACGGTGAAAGCCGATCCGGCGATCGACAGCGCCAAGTTGATGTATTTCCTCTTTTGGAAGGCCAATCAAAGTAGTTTCGCTTTCGCAACGAAGCACACAGCGCCTTCAC